TACTTTTCTAGTTATTTTGATGTCCTCGTCCTGCTTGTTGTGCCCGCTGCCTGGCAGTGACTTTATTTCTGTACTGCACATGTTTGGAATCCAGTCTGTCACTGTTAACCTCGCGGTGCTTCTTTCACACCTACACCATTTTTACCCTTCTGCTCCATTAGAGATTTTCGGACCCATGCCATCAGAGCTAGTGAGCCTGGGTCACTTTCTCCTCTGATCCTGGGTACGTTGGTTACTTTCAGTCCTGTTGGGTTTCATCAGTGGACAGGTATAGTGTTGTATGAGCTGACTACCAAGTCGATGGAGAACATTTTTAGCATACGGACTAGAAGAGTGTTACACTGGTCTCTGAAGAGTACATCTACCTTACCACCTTGTTCTCTTGGGACTCGGCTCTTCTCCAGCATCGTCCTCCACTGAATTTGGCCGGCTTAATTGCATGTTGAGTGGGTGCTCTCAGACAGTGTCGATACACTCCCCACGGCTCCAGAAGCAAGTCTCCTAGCCACCTTCATCTCTCTCCTTTTTGCGATCTTGTTAGTGGATTTTCTCATTATTAACTCGGCAAAGGCCTGGTGAATACACTCCCCCAGCTTTTCTTACCCATGTAAACAGTCCTTCCTCTGAGTGAGACTGGGATCCTGCTGTAATGTATAATAAAATTCAATATTACCTCCCCCCTCCCGCCAGTAACACGGCACTCCTTGAGCCCAAATGCACATTCTGGGCGACACCTGTGCAGACTCTTCACCCATCTGACAGCTGAAAAGTCATTTGTGCTGAAATATGAAAGAATGTAATAATTCAACCCAAACCAAGGCTCAGTTCTGCATAAACTCTTGTTTGAGCACCTTGCCTTTCCGTTACCCTGTGGCTCTGCTTTGCTGCTGAATTGTCCGAAGCCAAAATATTTTCTGTTGCTGCTGCTGACCTCTTGTCTCATTTTCCTCACATCTGCTTCCATGTCACACTCAGTATCTGCATGAACCAACTTAAGTCAATCATGGTAAAGTGTTCCCCCTTCTATTCACTTGACTGCCTTCATCTCTCCCACAATGTTAGCTTTCTCACTCTCCTCAAAGGTCACCTTCTCAATCTAGTCTGAATATACTCAGTTGGAAGGAGCAATCGCTGCCTTTCTCTCTGAATATACAGGCATTCTGTTCTCTTTGCCCCCATCAGTCTAACAAAGGTATCAATCTTTTTCCTTGACATCTGTCGCTTGGCCTCTCCGTCTTGCTGCGGCTATCTCTAAACATCATCTAGTGTAGTCTTAACTAAAGTATTCAATGATCCTCATCTGCTGGCTGCAGAACCTTCAAAATCCTCGTTCTCAGCTTGTGCATAGCCCTTGGCACAGTATCCAATATCCTCTCAAGACATGACCTTGGCATTTATGGCTGCTCTCCCTCTGCAGTCGCCCAGGGGTCCCCCAAGGCTCTCTTCCTGGCCCACTGTCCTTAAATTTTATATGACCTGCTCCTCATTTGTCTGTTTCAATGTTATGTTTATGCTTACATTCATCACTACTAAATCTCTTCATCTCTGTTCCACATCAGCGTTAAAACTGACCATGCCATTTGGCCCTAAATCCACCCTTAAATCTTGTTTCCCTCATGATCAATGACAATGATGTCACCTTGAGCCACAGTTCGCATCCTTCTGGACCATTCTGTTGTCGGATGCGCCTTTTATTTCTGCATAAATGATTTCCATTTATGCAGAATTCCCTGAATTGGGCCCTGCTTCTGCCAACCTCATGTTTGTATCTCATATTCTTTAAAACTTCAGATTAATTTCTAGTTTATTCTCCCAAGGCTCTTTAGCTTTGGTGACCAAAGCCTTCTTTAGGGTGTCTCCCTGTCTGTGGAATTCCTTTCTCCTGAGTATCCATAATTCCCCCTCACTCCGAGTTTTTATCTCTCCCCGAAACACTCCTTTCTCCACAGGTTTTTGAGTTCTGATTCTTGTCCTCAAAGTGCAGTGTAGGCCCCCATCCTAAAAGGGCTGCTTTCTGAAATAAGGGTTCTTATTATTGAGGCTCACACAACTTTTGGTGGTCTGCTGCCTCACGCTTCTCCGCTTGGCCAAATGTCACGTCATAAACCCACACGAGAGGTGACCTTCTGCACACTTTGTGGATGGCGCCAGCCTTCGTGTGTTGGCTCCCGCCAGCCAAGACGCACTCGAGCGTGGTCCCGCCATTGATTTAAAGAAAAGAACATAGATTCTGCCTCCATGACCATATATGGTATGGTCTCCATGCTCGCCGCCCAGGCGGGGGCCTCCTGCATTCCTTATTAGCTGCAGCTGTCTGTCTTTGGAGTCCTGTGATTTTGTATTGGCTAAATTTTGCTTACAACCCCCCCCCTGTTTTTTGGGGAGTGTGGGGGAGATAAGCCAGGGTGGGGGGAGCAATATAACCTGGCCAATGGTAGAAATCAGAGAGGACAAATGGGCCACATTTGGCTCAAACATACCATTGGATGTAATCTCTCCTCCGGTCCGTCTGGGCTGCGTCCCAAAGCTTGTTCCCAGCCTCCCCGTCGCAAGGTTTGGACTGGGCTTCTGCCAAGTCTGTGTGCTAAACAGCTGTAGATAGTGGGTTCTGGTCGGGATGGGGATGGGGGGGGGGCGCTTGTGGTGTCAGGGGTTAACATTATTCAGTGAGTAGCTGCGGTCTTAATTACAGCACCACCGTTGACTTCGAGCCTCTTGTGCAAAGGAGATCGTATAGCTATTCTTTCTTACCCATTACCTTCTGGTCAGGTGCTTGGTGATGTGAGATTAGCCAGAATCCTGCTGCGATTTTGGTCTGCTGAATTAAGTGCTGTAGATGGTTTTTATTCCGCTGCATGGACAGTGTTTCTGATTAATCATGAAAGCTCTCTACTGATTGTGACTAAAGTATTCAACAAGAAAAAAAAAACTGGTGGCAAGGTGCCAGGGGGTTTTTGGCACATGGCTGTGTGTGTGTGTGTGTGTGTGTGTGTGTGTGTTACTGTCTTCAGTCACAATGAAATGGATTTCCTCTTCACCTCCTGCATGCAGCATGACATCTGTTGAAGTGAAATGCCCATTTTCTTGCCTATGTAAGACTGGCTAGGTGCTGTGCTTTGTACTGCTAAATTCAAGACACAACTGAACTGTTTCCCTAGGAGATGAATCTGCAAACAGTGGGTGGTTTCAGGTCCTTAATCATCCATCATGTGCTCCTCTTCTGAGCTTTGGAGTGGCCAACGTCTCAGATGGTGACAGTACTTTGTGGCTTCAGTCATTCAGGTTGTGGCTTCAGTCATTGTTCCGGTATATTGTGTTGAAGTTGCTCACATAAGTAATCCATTAAGGATGGAGGTGGGAAGTTTGGGTCCAAAAAGTACAAATCCAGACCAAAGTATTGTTTCAACCAACCAGTTGAGTATAAACTTGGTCTAGATTTGTAGGTTTGGACCTGAACTTTCCACCTCTGTAATGTACTCTTGTGAGTAACTTCTCCAACACAGAGTGGAGTTTGTTTCCTAACTTTCTGTTTCACTCCCATCCCTCTTTGAAGCCAAGTAGACCAGAAATATTAGGGAAGTAAAAGTGGTTTATGGATTAGGGCCGTTTGCATCTTGAAATGATCCTTGCAATTGCTGGCTTGGCCCTTGTTCCCAGTACTTGTTGAGATGGATTGGCTTCCTGTCCTCTGTGGTGCTATGAGCCTCATACTAGAACTGTATGCACTCGAATCTGCTCTGTCTTTTAAACAAGGCCCAAACGTTGAGCCGTCTGGGTTACACTTGTTCCTAGTAACAAACTGTGAAAATGCAGCCGGGCGGAGCGTAAAGCCCACCGTGTCAGAAACTGGGCCGAGGGAGCAGAGTAGCCGTGTTGTGGGGTTGTTTACTTTGGCGAGGTTGCTTAGTCACGTGCTGAAACGTGCCCTTGGTCTGGAGGAATGTACACAGCCTGTTTGTTTGCAGTGTTGGTCTTGTGCTACATTACGGTTTCACATTTTACCTCTAATTTGGAATAATGTTTTGGGAATTATGTTTGACAGGCTCTGAAGATGCCTGTTATTTGGTATAAACTTCTTTGCAGTTCAGTAATGATGGGGATTGTATTAATTTTGGTGCTTTTCCTGATCTTTGCTATGGCAGATTTTAATTTTTTTTTTTTTTCGGGTTGAGCCTAAGCTTGAATGTGATGCTGGTCTTTATTGCCCTCCCCATTGCTGGTTAATCCTGATCTGTGATTCTACAGTTCTGCTTCCTTCTGGGAACAAGGTGGGCTTGCTTAACTGCTTTGGAGGGGGGGGGGGTGTGATGGGATGAATGGGGGGGCTGAACAAAATACTAGTGAGTGTCATTGAGATAATGGAAAGTTTAATTTGCTCCATTATGTGTCCTTATCACAAAGTTGCCCCTAATCTTACTGTCTGCTGGAAATGGCACACAAGGCACAGGGAGTGACTGAGGGTGGGGAGCGGAGTGGAGGTGCCCAGTGAAGGGGCTTGTGGGTAAGTGGGCAGGGCCATTGCTATTGGCTGCTGCTTCAAATTGGGCTGCCTTGCCTTTTTTAGAAGTCCCAAATGGAGCTGTGAATTCCATATGGTTGGCAGGGTGACAAAGCGGGAGAAGGGAGCCAGCAAATGGCTACGACAGGGAGCAGCAGGCAGCGCGGTGGCTCCAGTACCTGGGGGTGATAGGAGGGGGCAGTCTCCCCCCTGACTCATTAACCCTTTATGGTGCAGAATGTTTGACTTTCTGTTCAAAGGCTGGTTTTAGAGTTGGAAGACAAGTTGGGTATCTGGCTGGTATGGTAATGATTGTGGTTTGATTGTGCCTAATACTTTCTCAGCTCATTATCATAATGGCATTCAGATGTTTTACGCCAAATGTAAGCGTTTGTCTTGGTGCAGCTGTGGTTCCCCTTTTTCAGCAGAGCATGTCTGACTTCGAGTCAGTGATTTCTGTGTCACTTCTGTGTGTGTTAGCTTTGGCTCTATGGGAGATTTGGGATTCAGAAACCACAGGGCAGAGGACAGCAGTGGCATCTGAGTTAAATGGGCGCAACTGGTAGAAAACAGGGATTGTGGTATCGAGAGGGGACCTGCAGCAAGCAGACTCTTACTGTTCAACTTCTCCACAGAGCATATTGACTTCCTGTTTCCCACTGTTCCAATGAAACTGGTTTCTGCCGAGTGTTTTACGACCCTTCCCCCCAAATAAAATTCATGCAAAAAAAAAAAGGGTGAAAGGTGGTGATGCTGTTAGGCATTCTGTAGACTGACTGACCGTGTGTTAGGCATTCTGTAGACTGACTGACCGTGTGTTAGGCATTCTGTAGACTGACTGACCGTGTGGCCATGCTCCCCTGAGCAGTGTGTGTAGGGATGGACATCCACAGCCCCCTTACAGAGCAGTGGTCTGCTCTCTAACCAGGCTGCTGGTCACCTGCTTATTGTGAGGAAAGCAGGTTTGCTGGGCCTGTGGGTAATCAGCGGGCTGAGAGAGTCTGTGCGTCTCCCTGTGAGGGGGCAGCTGGGCCCAGTTAGCAGGCTGAGTCATGGGCTGCCTCTGCGTTGCTGTGCGTCTTTTTCTTTTTCTTCCCTCCCCCTTTGGGGCCAGCAGCATTTGAGCTGAGTAATCACCCAGGTAGACGAGAGACTTAATCCCCGTGGGCAAATACTTTTCACCTTCCCCATGCTGCTCTTCGTGTGTGTGACACACAAACACATACAGGCTGAGAGCAAGCTTTGGGGTCACAGCGCAGGGTCAGGTAGCATGCAGCGCCCCTAGAGGTGGGGGTTAAGGGTTTTGCTGGAGGGCCCTCGGCCGTGACTGTCCTGCTGAGGCCCGGGCTCAGGTGCGCAGGCTGAGGTGACGGTCCACACCGGGCTGCTCACCCTTGTCAGTCTGAGGTGTAGATGAGCAGAGTTGGCCTCTATCACAGCCAGCTAACAGTGGGTTAAGATTGCTCCTGAGCAC